TTTTAAGACCCGTTTTAATATTATCTTCCGACTGACCGCTAGTACAATATAAAGTTGCAGGCCACTCAAGTGCATTTTATTATCTGCTGTTTTTCCAACGTCTGTTATATTTGATCTTCACCAGGCGAAACTACAATTGATTATGACACTTTCAATGTTACTGTAACTATAACACTTCGTAACTACGAACAGTGATAACATTCTTAGTGTTACTGTAACTGCACCACATCAAATAAAGATTCTGACTTGTGTGTTTGACATAAGCCTTCAGGCGACCGAATATGCGACACCGTTCTCAACCGCTGTGCTTCAAACGATTCATTGCCATGAAAATCGGCTTTCAACAGTTAACGTTACACAGCGTGCAGTGAATCATATTCCTAGAACCGTTGCGTAGCAATGGGCGCCTCTACTTGAACGCTGGGGAAACTTCGTTACCTAGAAACAGCCCAATCTGTCACAGTACTTATGAAGTAATCTATTTATATGTCTATCTATCTATCTGTCCGTCTGTCTGTATGTCTTTCTATCCCTGTTGCTCCCTCTGGAGCATAGGGCATCCGTGAAACGCTTCTTTCACGTCAGTTTATCAATGATAGGCAGTCAGTAGGTCTCCTTGGAAGGGTGATCGTCGCAAGGCCGCTGCCTACACACAGAACGACACAAACAGAATAAACACAGACATCCATGCCTCAAGTTGGATTCGAACCCACGATCCCAGTGTCTGAGCAGGAGAATACGATTCATGCCTTAGACCACTGTGATCAGCAGTTAACAGAGCTACGCAGCTGGAGTTTTGTAAGAGGACAGATCATAAATATACCTTCACATTACATGTATATATGAAATATTGGAATTAAAAATGTTCCACGGATGCATAGACCAACTCTTCACAGAACAGCAGTAAAATGCCAATAAGGATAAGGTACGTCGAGTGGCATGTTGAGGAGCCCTGCATCACACAGATGCAGCCTCAGGGCACACAGACAGACGCAGAAACTCATCTGCGAGTGTCTATCCGTAATGGTCGCCCGCCTCTCTTCAGCGCCGGCAGGGAATGAGGGGGTGGCATCAGTTAGGGGGTGCTCCGCGTATTGATTAGTGCTGCAGCCCCTAGTTCAAGAGGGTGGGAGGGAGGCACTGTGCTGTATACTGTTTCTCTTGGAAGGCCTGAGATTATTAGCTGCGTGGACCGCTCGAATGAAGATAGTCCACATTGCAATATGGCAGCGAAGCGCAAGGCTCTCTGTAGGCATGCCGTTGAGTAGAAGCACACAGCCCGTTAGCAGTAGTGTACGGATTAAGTTAAGGTAAAAAATTAAACTAATCCTTAAGCCACAAAATATGATCATCTTAGTACCGCTTGATGTAACATACACCGTCAGTTATACAAGCAAATACATAGAGGAACAAAGGCTGTGCAGGAAAATAGAAACATAGAACAGACATGCAGATAGGTAGCTCTAGTAATTCATTAATTATCAACATAAAACTGAAATAAGGTTGTCGCATCGCCGCCATGTTGCTATTATACGTTTTACAAAAAGAAATGGTAATATGACAAGTTTCATGTTTTTTTTTCAAGATCTCTCATCACGCCCGGAAAATATTCTCTGAGACGGCCAGGGAAGGCTCATTGGCTGAGGTAAATGTGGCCTTTTTTTAAAAAACGCCATTCCCTGATATATGATTCCGTTCACTCTGGCGGAAGGTCATCGAAATTTCGGCGGTACATCCTGTCTCCATCTTCAGGGTCGGAAATGAAGCAAATCACCAATAAGACGCATGCAGCTAGGAGAGCCTCTTGTTGCCTGGTTCTTGAGTGTTATTGCGTGAAGATCTCTGTAAACTTTTCATCTTCCCAGCACATGCTACTTGCTCCGCCCATCTCACCCTCTTTTAAACACTATAATATCCGGCGAAAAATACAAACTTTGACGTTCCTCGTGTTTGTCCACATCGAGTTTTCTTCAGTAGACCGAGTTTCACGCCCTATAAATAACAGCCTAAGATATGCGGTCTTCTAGGTTGTATTTCCGAGTAGTTCGGAGAGGGCCCGACGTTTCGGAGGAACATATCACCTTAATGTTCATGGTCGAAGTGTAAGACAGCCAATAGGCAAGTCACCAGCTGATGGTTTCTAGCTTCGTGTATTCTTCAACCCTGAAGATGGAAGCGATATGTTCCTCTGAAACGTTGGATGTTCTCCAGACAATCCAGTATACTATAATGTTCAGCATATAATGTAGACTTATGGACTTGTCGCATGCGGAAGAAGTACGCGGTTCTTTCAATAACATTTCCGTCTAAACGTAACTTTTCTACAAGTACGGAGCGCTTTCATGAAACAGCCACTATTACTTATATTAATCTGCAGGTAAAGCTATCCCTGTAACAGGCCGTGGAGGGCCATAGGGTTATGAGACGTCGAGGGTCTCACATTATCTAGACAAGCGGCTCACAGATGGCGGTAAGCTTGTCAGCCTTACTCGCCGGCCGTGCTTTACACCCCAGGAAAATTATTTAATTAATTCCTGGTACTCATTTCTGTTAGAGGCTGAGTCGACCCCAGGGACACAATGCAGCTGGAAGGATTAGGTCAGTAGAAAAATCCAATGACCTATCGGAATTCGAACGTGCGACCTTCCTGCTTGTAGCATCGTGCCTCAACCAACTACGCTACCGCGTGGGGCTGTGTACGTATGCAAACTTGAGGTTTTCACGGCAGGGACTTTATTGATGTCAGGATCGTGTGGCTTCTGTAGATATTTAATTACGTTTCATGAAAGTTAGTGCCCCATCTTCAGAGTATCAATCAGACCGGATGGGAAAGTGGCAAGACATAGCTAATAGAGGTAAAGGAGACTGGCCACTAACAGCTTTTCCTCATCCGTGACGTTCATTGGCGATTCCCTTCCCTTCGCTTTAGGCCTCGAAGAGTTTCTAGCGTCGGGCGACAGGGCGAGTGATGAATGTAGATTAGTTGATGGGGTGAGAATTGGCAGGGAGGAAACCCTCCCTAGTTACATTTCGTCCAACACAAATCCCACACTCTCAGATCCGAGATCGAACCCGGGCCGCTGCATGAGCTCTTGAGCCATGACACGGCCTCTGACACTGTCCTCCTTGACGTTCCTTTATCCTCTTCTCTAATATATAACTTGACACTTTCCAAATTCCGCTAAATTCAACCCTGAAGATGGAGGCAATTTATACTTACAAAATGCTGGCAGACGCTTACCTGACTGCACGGTATTACAAACCAGAATATTGTCAGTTTATTTTCTCGTCTTGTCTTTAATATTTCAAAAAATAGATGAATTATATTTATAGACAGGCGGACAACTCAGTCTTTCCTTTTGAAATATGTTTTGAATTGGTTTTGAGCAAGAGTTCTTTGAGTAAAAATATGTCTTAATTTTCTTCCTGTGAGGATATCCGTGTTTGTTGTGTGTGTGTGTGTGTGTGTGTGTGGGGGGGGTGTATATTTGATCAGTCCGCGAACCAGCCTCTCGGAGCCAATAAGATGCAGCCTTCAAGTTTCCACCCTCACGTTTATATAGTGGCATTCAATTACAGACGGGATCCACAATTGAAACTCCATTTCATGCGTTGGTTTCCTTCCATTGCTTTTCATGGATTCTCCACCCCATTATGTATGGTTGAGGCGTTGTTCAAAACGCATCTAAGTCTGCATTGAACTCTCCAGCCAATATGTCTAGGAGTAATCCTTCAGATCTGTGTTTAGTTTACACACAAATAATATCACTTGTCACTGTTAAAACGATTTATGTTGAATTGTGCAGAGCATTTCTGAAACGGCTTTATTCCAACATCCATCACCATGACAATCAAATAAAAAGCGAAATTGTTATATTTGGACAACATCTTGGCAGATGGATTTCTTGCAGCTCATTTCTTCATCTCACCCCACATTTGTATATTGCTTTTCGAAAGTTTATCTACAAGCCGGAAGGTTGTAGTTTCGATTCCCGATGAGATCATTGGATTTTTCATCGATCTACCCAATCCTTCCAGACGGACTATGGCCCTGGGGGCGACTAAACCTCTAACAGAAATGAGTACCAAGAATTTTCCTGGGGGTAAAAGGCGGCCGGCGCATAAGGCTGACAATATTACCGCCAGCTGTGAGCTGATTGTCTACAAAATGTGGGAGTCTGGACGTCTCACAACTCTGTGGGCCTCCACGGCCTGTTACAGGGATAGCTTTACCCTTTTTTCTGAATTGTATGCGTCGGGAAAGCTGAAAGCTGTGTGTAAACCGCGGACCGGTGTGCATATTTGAAAGTTTCCAAAGTTGCGGAGAACCTTGTTTTGCAGGCGCTGCAATAACAACTTACTACTAGGTTCGACCCCCGGTGTATAGCGTCCTCAGGGACCGTGTGGGAATCCCCCCCCCCAAAAGTTATTCTGTTGCTGCTGTATCCGATGCTGCGGTTACGTCATTTGTTTGCCGTGTTTACAGAACCACTACCTAGCAACGGCCGTCTCTTCTGGCTTTGAGCAGACATGTCACAATATCACTACCAAGAAATGCATTACAGAAACCACAAGTTGAGAAACACTGACCATCATACTGTGCTGTTCCTATAAATTGTATGGAGAGTATTTTTGTATTTTTTTTTTATTTCCCTACACGTTTTTTTATTGCTAGTGGGGTGGGACCAAGTCCCTTCTACTGCAGCCACTTCTGGCCTATTGTACCAGCCCCGAATGATAGGCGAGGGTGATTGTGGAGCAATTGGTGGAATAAAGATTGGCAGGGGAAACCGAAGTACTCGGAGAAAACCTGTCCCAGCGCCACTTTGTCCACCACTAATCCCACTTGACCAAACCGGGGATCGAACCCGGCCGCCGCGGTGGGAAGCCAGCGACTAACTGCTTGAGCTGTGGCGCGGCCTTTCTTACACAGTTAGAAACATATAATTTGAGACTCTGTGAAAAGATTAACTGGAAGATATTTTCTTTCTTCGTTTTAGGGAAGTTATGGATTGGCGACACTGATGTGTCATGGCGACCGGAAGCGCAGAAAGATGAAGATCGCACTGCAACACTTCACGCCAGGCTCGGACTCGGAACAGGTAGGAGAACCAATGTAGAGTTGATGCACACAGTCCCGACCCAGTTAACAGCGCCCCTGATTGTAATGTCTCCCGCCGTGCAGTCCGTCACACGTACATTGATCCGGCACAGGCAGCACTTGCATGAAAGAGAGAGAAGAGTTAAAAAAGTGTCACTTTGTGCATCGGTGTTTTATATATGTTTTCGGAGGTCAATTATTGTTTTCGTGTCGTCCCGAAAACTAGAGGGTCCTTGCTGTCCATTATCAAGGTCACTTCCTTCGTTTGACCTTCCACACTTGTCACGAGAATTTCTTTATGAATTCAGTGAAAACCGTTCCCACTTTTTCAGCCTCCCTCAGTGTATGTGGGTCTACGAATATTTCGTTAGTCGAGTGTCTGTTAAGGCGCGTCCACATTACTCGTGCTCGTGCTCGTGCTCGCCAGGTTTGTGCTCGTCGGAAGACTCGTCTGGCTTTTACTTGTGCTCGTAAATTTTCTTCCACACTACTTCAGTTACTCGCCAGGCTTCGTCGCGTGAGGATCCATATATTTACTCGTAGTGTGTATAGGCTGTAGTCGTATTTTAATTTACTGGCTATAGTTTTTAAATTAAAAATGTTAAATTTGCTTATCTCGTGACTTGTTATATCGTCCATATTATTCTCGAGCATAGCGAGTCACACGAGCACGAGTAATGTGGACGCGCCTTTAGGGACTCTTGTTTCCCCGATTAAAGCAAGGAATTCTTTCAGTAACATCGAAGAGAAAGAATATTGTTTCCTTGTCATAAAATATTGTGACGTGTATACCCATTGCTAGGTAACGACTTGGTAAACACATTCCGGGGTAACGAATACGCAGGCAAAAGTCGAATAATTTCCTTTGCTATGCAGCGGCGCTGTAAACACGCATCGCAACAGTGGAGGAAGCGATGTTTTCTGTCGGTCCGCCCCGAGGCTATATAGCGAGGATCCCTCGCGGCTAGGATGAGAATGAGATCGAGTTCTGGAGATGACAGTAGACGATTATTGAGAACAAACGGCAAGAAATGAATTAGGCGGCGAAAAAAGAATTCGTTTGTGAATTCAAGTGACAGACTGTGATGAATCCGTTGCCTGGAGGCCCACAGTGTTGTGAGACGTCGAGGCTCCCACACTTTCTAGACAATCGGCTCAATTTTTATGGCATGTTGCTTAATTAAGCAATACCTTTCCTATTCCAGTCTGATCCTGGTTCGGAGTTGTTCGGTGACACTACAAACCTTGGCGTAAGTTGGGTTGCCGGCCTCCCGGGATCCAATATTACGGTTCTGTTCACACGGGCATCCATCCATACGGGAGCAATAGTGAAGCAGGGTGCATGTTCGTGTTTTTTTATTAGAGGACGTGTAACACGTGTTGATGCTCCTATACTCATGTTCCACCGATTGCACCCCTGCTGTTACTTCACCCTACCAGTTCCCCTAGCCCCCGCACTTTTTTCCTTGAGAGTCTTACATTATTGGCATTTTATAGGAAGAGGGTTCTCTATACAGCGGAGAGTGGGGAGAGATTTCAAGTGTCGAGTGAGATGTTTTAAACGAAATCAATTATTTTAATTCTGTTGAGGAAAAGGTGGGCGGTGTGACGAAGTTTCTGGTCTACTTAAGAGTTCTCCGGTCCCCCACCCCCACCCCCGCCACTTCACCCTTCAGGAAACTCGGAAGAAATCTGCGTGTGGGACTCACTCTGTCTTTGTCTGTTTCAATTGCCCGATTTCCTTCAGTTCGTACGGCAATGAGTGGCATATGTCCAGAACTCTGGGCGCATGGGACGGTCACTTGTTAAGGCGGAGGCCAAGGCCAGGGCAGCCTAGCGACGAGAGGTTTAGTGGCGTCAGTGTAAGACCCGTTGAGAATTCAGCGACAAGCCCCATCATTTTTATACAAATGTTGGTACTATCAACTTCCCCGCTTTCTAGCGAAATCCTACAAGTTATTGAACGCTATGTCGATCGGTAACACCATCTCCCCCGAATGACGCACCCAATTAAACCGCATCCACGTGGTCATAATAGCTATACTCACAGAATAGGCACGATATTCCGAAACAAAATATTTCCCACTGCTTAGTGACATACAACAAAATTTTACGTTCATCCAACTGTTAACACTTAAGGCCATATTGCTGTTGTAACCTGATGTTGCCTTATAACAGTGACAGATCTGACGCTTACGAGAACTTTCTGTGTACTGTCACGTGTATGATTGGCTATACACAGGTTTTGGATCGGTGATCGGATTTATTGGACTGTTCGATATAGCGAGTGACTGCACTTTGCATTTCGTTATAACAAACACAATATTACCCACAGTCACGTCTTTAATAGCCATTACTCGGTAGAGGCTTCCATGGGCGGACGTGTCCCCGAACTGTTCCCGTGCCTCAGCTACCGGCCTCACACAACCACCGAACCACGGCAGTTTTCTAACTAATTCACAGACTGACTGACTCACGCACCAAAGAACTAACCGAACTCAATTGACTCTCACGAACTGTCCCCACAATATGTGCACGGACCGCACAGAAAATAGCCTTCAGTTATTGTTGTGAGATCACTGCCGTCGAAACATGCTTGTTTGCGAAGCCGTTACTTAGCAGCAGCTGTTGTATAGCTGCTTATTTCGCGATCGTTGCCTAACAACCGTCTACATGCTACTATTTGTATGTCTACATACACACAGACAGCATTTTGAGTGAGAACACGATAAGCTGCAGGAACACGATGCATCTGATTTGTATTCCACGGAATTCCCAGAAACACATTTTACCGGCTGTGGGGTGACACCGGTGCGTGTCCTTACACTCATCTGTGGATAGTGAGCGATCACAATAAATGTGTCGGTGATTCAAGAAGATAATTTCCCTGAAAATCTCCACTTGCATTTATATAATTTTATTTCTGCCTGTAATGCGCACGAGATGGCAAAGAGGCGTAGGACTGGAAAGAATGGAGGGCCCTTCTCCTTAATATACGCTAGCTCACAAAAGTGCTACCGGCGTTCTTTGCAATTGTTAATTCTGTATCATATTATCTACCTTTCTGTAAACGTCATTTTATCAAAACACAATTTATTAGAAAAGATCGGGCAAAATTCTGATTTCAGCAACATAGTAATGCATGATGTAGAAGTACAGTAGATATATGTTCACAGTTCCACATTGAAAGTGGAGGCAGCATTCTCACCCGAAAATTCCGCATTCGCCGAAAACACTACAGGGTGTTACAACAACGCAAAGTCTGTATATTCACCGCTATGAAGACCTGAATGACAGACGGGCGGCCATAATCTCCACGTACGGCCTTCTTTTTGTTGTCTAATAGCCGCTTGAAAATTGTTGGCAGGAATGAATTTGATGGCTTCTAGTCAGCGGTGTTTACTTCGCCAGCTGCCGGTAAAGAGCCTAGCGCAACAACCGGCCTGTGATTGGATATGGGAAGATTCCGCTGTACTTATGGAGGCGACTTCATCGAGAAGTGAAACCTCAGCTGAATTTGAGGTTCTCACGGCGATAGTTGCTGTAACGCCGCGTAGTTCGGAGTGAGACCGACGTTTCGGGAGGAAAACGCTGCAAGCTGAGCTGTCTCCTTGGTTTCTTTTTCGACTAATACTTCGACCCCGAAGATGGTGGCGATATATTGCTCCGAAGCGTGATACTCTTTTCAAATTAAAACCTAAAGAATTTCATGTATTTTCATGTCTTTATCTTCAAACAATCACCGTTTCTACAACAAGTAAAGAAGTCGTACTACTGAAACTCATGTGGTGTATGCGATTAAGCTGCAAAAGGGGTATCACGGATAGAGACAATATCAACGGGGATCGGTTTATCAGCTTGTATTCAACAAGGTTGTATGGTGCGATATATTCCATTCTTGCAGTGTAGGTGGGACCCTCCAACTCCTTGAAAAGTAGATTTATTTATAATGGTCATCGAAGTGAAAGCGGTCAGACCCCCGCGCGATGTATTCAAATTGAGACGTGCTCGAAGTGCCTGGCTCTCTCTGTCCAGCCACACGAGCTCATAGACTCTCTGATGAGTTTCTGGGGATTCTGGAAGGTACGAATTTCAGAAGCATTTCTTGTGTTAGCCTTTGTCTATGGACGCGCCGAATAACATTTAAAAGCATATAAAACGATTTTTAAATTAAACTGAAAAAGATGGCAAAGAGTGATATTTTTTTATATATTCAGTTTTGCGATAAGGCTGTGTTGTTCCCATAGCTGGCTTCTCACTTCGGAGATCCAGATTCGGTCTTAGGACTGTGTATGTATGTATGTAATTTGTAACGGTGAACGTCGCAGCTAGGGCGCCCAGCAATCGCCGTGCGTGGGCTGTGTGTGTTATCATGGCCGCGGTCATCAGCCCTGAATCCACGCCTGACCCTCCACTTTCAGCTACTCTGAAACGGAAGACTTTGTTACCAGAATAGATTTGTGAGTGGCGGGGTGATGGGTTGAATCATCTTGTAAAACATGACATTTCCTTTCTGCACCGGCTGCCATGGTATTCAGAAGCTGTAAAGTTAATATTGATGCCGTGAGGGCTATCGTTCTGCAAGGCGCCACCTTGCAGTGATAGCTCACGTGATATATTGAAGGTGCTTCCCCTCCCGGGCAACACTGCTCATATTATCGACTCTTATAAAGCTGATTGAAGGGATAACTCGCAAGAAAGCGGGGCTGGAACGTGAACTTGATTCGAGAATAAAAAGAAAATGTTATAAAAGAAATATATATATGTACAGATACCCCATCTGGGACGATCACGTATGGTTGAAAATCGGGAGAGGAAATAGATGGGTCTCAAATCGTTTGATTTCACGTATGTTTTATGACGAATGTTGAGGGCATAACCTGCTTCTCATATTATTTAAGTGGCGGCCTGGCTCCTATATTGAGGACTGCTAACAGACTGGCGCAGGCGCTTTGTTTGAGCTCTCTTCTTTCGGGCCTGTGTTCGAGTACCGTATGGCGA